AAAATTGCTATATCAAACAGGTTTTTAATAAAAAATTAGGTAAAAACACCCTTTAAAACTATGCCATTGATATCATTCTTTTGCTTCTTTTTTTCCCTTTTATTTGTACGGTTTTAGATATTTTAAATTTGAATCTTGAGTTAGATGATGAAAAATTTAGGAAAATAGGAAGGTTACCTTTCCTTATATAAAACATGTTTCTTTATATAAAACATTTTGATAAATTTGGTACACCTTGTTGTCATTAATTTATATAAAACATACAAAAGCTCACATTAATTTTAGTATCATTGTCATGTTGATAAATTTAATTAGATAATTGATAAATTGAAGGTCAACATGCATTCTTGTAATATAAATTTATGACAAAAAATATATTTATTATATTTTTAATATGTGCCATAAGAGTAGAGGTTAGAAAATCCTTTCATAATAATTAATGACAACAATAAGGATATGTTAAAAAAATGCTTTATTAATTAGGTAGTTTAATTAAATTTAAGAAGTGATTTTTTAAGATTATGAAAGTAAAATGTATTATTGATTAAAATAAAAAACATATCATTATTTTATTGAAAAAATATTACCTAAACATATGTATCTTATATAATATTAATTAATTGATTTACCAAAAAATTTAATTAATTTTAAAAAATATATTATCACTTAAAACAAATGAAGTAAAGGCAAGAGAAAAAACATGTAAATGCATGCAATGCCATGCAAGCTAGTAACAAACGGTGTCAAGGAGTTAGTTAATGGAGGGGTTGATTTGTACTAAACATGGGGTTGGAGGGCTTATTTGCCTCCTTTTTAGTTCATGGGCTTCTCACTTGCTATCAAAAAAGTTAATTAGATATCATCAATGGTGTTACTTTGACAAAAAGGAGCTTTTGTATGTTTGACAATGATACCTTCTTTAAGCATGTTACTTGTCAAGTAGAATTGCATTAACATTTCCAAACTAGTGGGGGAATGTTGAATAGTTTGTAAATATTTGAGATCCCACATTAAGAAAGTATGGGAATTTAAAGAAGTTTATAAATGCCTATTCTTTATCAACAAATAATTAAGTAAAGTGAAACTCAAGGGAAATTGAGTCTTGACCCTTTATATATAGTCAAAAGATGGGCACTTGGGCACTTGATCGCCAGAATATCTTTAATTTTTTATTTTTTTTGGATTTTTTATTTTATTTTATTAAATTATAATTTGGAAAGACATAATTATTGGCAGTCAAAAGGTACCTCTATGAAATGGTGTCTTTTGGAGGGATACATCCCTTTAGATAGTGACTTTTCAGGTATTATAAATTCTTATGCAATGTCAGAGTTCTAGATCTAATTCTGAGAGAGTTTTGAGTTCTATTATATCCTTGGAGGATTTTAAATCCTTAAGAAAAGTGAGATCACACCTCATAATAATTCTTTTATTCTTCTGCTATTTAATATTTCTTAACATTTTGATGGTTGCCAAGAGCTTGAGAGGTGTCAAACTTTCGGAGACAATAGAGGCAAGGAAAACGTTCCGGAGATGAGGTGGTGGACGGAGGTGCTACATGCTTGGTGGGTTTGGCTGCCTACCAAGTAGCGGCTCGCTCACGCTTGTGAGCATTCTGATGGCCGTCGAAAGCTTGAGAGGTGGCAAACTACCGGGGACAGTAGAGGCAAGGAAAACGTCGCGGAGATGAAGTGGTGGATGGAGCTATTGCATGCTTGGTGGGTTTTGTAGTGGTGGTAGTCAAAGGTCATGAGGTATCAGAGGTCATGAGATATCAAAGGTATGGTGGTAGTCAGAGGTCATGAGGTATCAGAGGTCATGAGGTATCATAGGTATGTTGGTAGTCAGAGGTCATGAGGTATCAGAGGTATGTTGGTAGTCAGAGGTCATGCACCTCATAGTAGTTCGAGGTACATAACCTCGGACAGTTGAAACCATTCCTAGCAATCTAGTTACCTTGACTTGATCGAAGAGCGACGAGCTTGGTAGAATTCGAGCTCGTTCCCTCTGCTACCGCTCCACAGTAGCTCCGTACGCACACGAATTCCTCATGAGAGATACCTACGATGGTTGACACGCATTACCCTGGTTTCTCGAAAGGATCAACACGTGGACACCTCCTTGAAGGCCTATAAATACCCCCCAGGGTCCACCTCAGAAAGGTACTTGAAACCGACCTCAAACTTAGCTGGTAGCTCTGATTATTGTTAACTTAGGTATTGGAGTGTTTACCCTGAGGACCAACCTCGGGGCCTTGTAGGATAATCGAAGTGAAGACCCGAGTTCCAGGACACCCCCCAGTTCTCTGCAACTACAGGTTTGGCC